GGAGGATGCAGCCAGAGGGACGTGCTGCATGGCCAGAAGAATGATAATAAAACCTAGTAGGGCCACAGCTACCAACCTTGATGTGTCTCCTTTAAACGACAGTGCACCCTCCACCCCCCGCCTCTCCCAAACGTTCATGCTGCCTGCCGACTGACCCAGGCAGAGGGTTTGCCCAGCAGATGAGCCGATGGCACACTCCACTAAGAGCCTTCTACTTGGCCAGACAAGCACCCAGCTCCTTTTCTAGTCCCTGGACAAACTGATCATTCAGGAAGAGCAACTGCCCATGGGGCAGAAACTTGCTCAGGATGATCTCGGTCTTGTCTGCCTTGAGGACCACGTCGCTGCCCTGGTTCAGCAACTTCAGATGCTCCAGGAGATACTTTACCACCAACCGCAAGGTGTTCTCAGCCAGCGTCAGGTTCTCCTGGGGGTCGCACACCAGAGCGAAGCCCAGAGACAGGACCCCCAGCCAGAGCACCATCTTGTTCTCACAGAAGGGATCCCCGGGAGGGAGGCGGAACACCCCGGATGGGGCATCCTGGAGGGAAATGGGCTCGTCGGGCAGCTGGATGGGGAAGTCAGAGGCAGGGCGCCCTGACGCCTGGTGCAGCAGTTTACATGTTGAATCCACCTGCCTGGGAAAGGCCAGAAACAGAGGGAGAGACAGAATTACAGTCATTTTATAAGAGGATGGGATTAAGAAAAGGAAACAGGACCTGAACATCTCTGGAAGGTCTGCCTGACAGCAAGATGACGCAGGCTGCAGATCAGGGGTAGGCAACCTATGGCACGCGTGCTGAAGGCGGCACGCGAGCTGATTTTCAGTGGCACTCACACTGCCCGGGTCCTGGCCACCAGTCCGGGGGGCTCTGCATGTTAATTTAATTTTAAATGAAGCTTCTTAAACATTTTTAAAACCTTATTTACTTTACCTACAACAATAGTTTAGTTATATATTATAGACTTATAGAAAGAGACCGTCTAAAAATGTTAACAAGTATTACTGGCACACGAAACCTTAAATTAGAGTGAATAAATGAAGACTCCGGTACACCACTTCTGAAAGGTTGCCGACCCCTGCTGCAGATTCATCCCCCAAGGGGAATATGTGAGAGCCCCATTGCTTGGGAAGTTTAAAACCAGACAAAACAAAGCCCTGCAGAACAAGCCTGCTCTGGGGCGGGGTGGGCTGGAAGGGACGTACCAAGCCTTTCCCCTCTGGGATGAAGCACAGAGAACAGCTGGGGTATTTTACTTTATAAAGAGCTTCCTGGAACGTTCACATTCGCTCCTCTCCCCAGTGGGGGATAAGGGACCCAAAACGTGCCCTGTTCTAGAGTCGAAGGGTACGTCTACCCTACCAAAAAAGACCCAGGGCAGCAAGTCTCAGAAGCCGGGTCAGCTGACTCAGGCTCACGGGGCTCACGCTATGAGGCTAAAAATAGTAGGTCAGACATTCAGGCTGGGCTGGAGCCAGGGCTCTAAGACATAAGAACGGCCAGACTGGGTCAGACCAAAGGTCCATCCAGCCCCATATCCTGGCTGCCAACAGTGGCCAAAGCCAGGTGCTTCAGAAGGAATGAACAGAACAGGGCAATTAGTGAGTGATCCATCCCCTGTCACCCAGTCCCAGCTTCTGGCAAACAGAGGCTAGGGACACGCAGAGCATGGGGTTGCATCCCTGGTAATCTTGGCTAATAGCCATTGGTGGACCCATCCTCCATGAACTTTTGAATCCAGTTATACTTTTGGCCTTCACATCATCCCCTGGCACAAGTTCCACGGGTGACTGTGCGTTATGTGAAGAAATACTTCCTTTGGTTTGTTTTAAATCTACTGCCTAGTAATTTCATTGGCTGACCCCTGATTCATGTGTTATGAGGAATAACACTTCCTTATTCACTTTCTCCACACCAGTCATGATTGTATAGACCTCAGTCATATCCCCCCTTAGTCATCTCTTTCCAAGCTGAACAGTCCCAGTTTTTTTCATTTCTCCTCATACAGAAGCCGTTCCATGCCCCTAATCATTTTTGTTGCCCTTTACTGTACCTTTTCCAATTCTAATACATCTATTTTGAGATGGGATGACCAGAACTGCACACAGTATTCAAGGCATGGGCGTACCATGGATTTATATAGAGGCATATGATATTTTGTCTTATTCTCTATCCCTTTTCTAATGGTTCCTAACTTTCCTCTCTGCTCACCCGAAGGTCTCCACTGCTATTTTTAGCCTGGTAGCATGAGCCCAATTCAATTGTCCTGGGCTCAGAGTCTTGCTGCCGCAGATCCTTTTTCTCTGCAGTGTAGATGTACCCTTAGATTCCAAAACACTAACTCCACCCCCCTGTGCTGGGCCCTGCAGCACAGTCACATTCAGATGGGGGTGAATCTTTTACCTGGCCACAGCCAAAATCTGCTCCTTCCTGCCCAGTCTCTCCTTCTCGAGATCATGCGGCCCGGGCTCCTCCGGTGACTGGTCCAGCCTCTCAGAGCCAAAGACCCTGGAATACAGCACCCGGCAGAGTCCAGCCTCTTCCCCGGGCCGAGGGTGCAGCGTATGGATGAGGAACGCGTGAACCATGATGCTGCATCCTAAGGAAAGACACGCAAGCGGTGAGTGATCATCACAGGGTATCGGAGCGTGCGGCTCAGGGGTGCCAGGGCCCCTCTACAGCCAGCTGGGCGGGGCATTCCCCTCTTCCCAAAGCTTTGGAATAACAGGAAGAGGGGGGGAAAGGAGAGGCACCATCAACCCCAAGCCCGGTTCTCCCCGCTGCCCAAAGAGGCTGAGCCAGCCTCGCCTCTCACTCCCCACACCCCTCAGAGCAGGGCACTTGGGGGTGGGGCTCCGCTCCCCATCCCCGGGAGGGGCAGTTGAGGCTGGGAAGGAAGATGTGGGCTGACCAGGCTGAAGTGGCACGACAGCCCCCTGCGGCCAGGCGTGACAGGCTCACGTGGGACGGGGATGGGGTGGAGTGGCCAGAGACGCACGTGGTGGCGACCCGACTGCCCTGCAGGATGCGGTGGGAGCAAGGCATGGCCCGCGGGGGCGCGGGGCAGGGCCAGGGCCAGGGCACGGTGGCTATGCGGGGTTGGTATGGTGGAGGTCTCAGGTGCGATGTAAGGGAAGTCCCAGCGGGTGTCCCGGGGGCAGGAGTGATGGAGCAGCTGAAGGGGGATGCAGGGTGTCGAAGGGCCCAGGCGCGTACAGGGATTCAGGGAGGCTGCAGGGAAGGCACAGAGGCCCATGGGGGGGCAGTGGCGTAGCTAGGAAGGGAAATCTGGGTGGGCCCCGACGCCCCCGGACACGGGGCTTCACCCGCCGAGCAGGGCAGGCGCCTGGGGCGGCTCGGGGGACCCGGGGGGTGGGGGGGAGGGGCGGGGGTGGAGCTAAGATGGGGGGG